CCATTCCTATTACCTTTAACCAACTATTAAAATGTCTCAGTGCATCAGTCAAGGCTCTACCTGGTCCCTGTATATTTTCTCCAGCTTTCTCTCTTGCCATGGGACCTCTGGCAGCCTGCGATCCAGCTAATCTATTTGTAATTTCACTAATGCTCTTCCAAGCAGTTGAGACTTATGAATGGTATCCTCTCTAATCACACTTCCCTTTGCCCCAGCAGTATCTCTATCTCCCTTTGGCATTTATTTGTCTTCCAAGACTCAGCTTAAGAACATTCTGCCATGTGAATATTTCCCTAGCACACATTCACACTTTTTCTATTTACATAGAGTCATGTACACATATTATAAATCTACTAATTATATACAATAATTGTGAAATATGTCTGTCTGCCTAATGTACTCTGAGTTCCTGAATAGGAGATATGGTTTCTCACTGATCTTCATAATTCCAGGATTTAACAGTGAGTGTTGCATGAAATATCATATCATATTTTTATTCTGTCAAGTGAATATTTGGATCAGTCACATGTACCTGAGTATCCCAGGTATCTGATTGGAACAAACTATGATGTGGGTCCCCATGGTAAATTTCCCTTCCATGGGGAACCTCCTTCAGTACCTTCTTTCAAACTGATATTCAGCTGTTGGTATTCAAGAGTTTATTGTCAACTCTATGATTGTAGGAGGATAAACCTTCGGTAAAGTGTTAAATTACTCATTTAGGATTATAGATTTAGTTGGCTTTGTATTCATAAAAATTCATAGGTTGATCATCCTAAAAATGAACAGCTTAGTTTTAAGGACATAATAGTTACCTATTAAGTAAGACTGAGAGTCTTTTCAATCCAATAGGCTAATATGCTACTAATTTACTTTGATTTATGGAATACTTTTCCACTATAATTGGTATTTATTATACATTTTCTTTTTAGACTGAGTCTCACTTTGTAGTGAAGGCTGGCCTTGAACTCACTGTGTAGCCCAGGCTGGTCTCAAACTTGAGGTGATCCTCCTGCCTCAGCCTCCTAAGTGCAGGGATTACAGGCATGCATACCACGGATGGTTTATTATACTTTTTTTGGTTGTTGATTTGTGTTTTGGTACCAGAAATCAAACTCAGGGCCTCCCACTTGCCAGGCAGGCACTGCGCCACTGAGCTATACATCCCTGGCCCCCCGATTTATTATACTTTTTTTTTTTTTCATTTGTATCAGTACTGGGGATCAAACTCACGACTGCCTGCTTGCAAGCCAGGTGCTTATGCTGCTGAGCTAAATCCCCAGCCCCTATTATACTTTTAATATGCCTTTTGATAATGGAAACTGAAGCTTATGGATTGTAGTATAGTTGGGCTGCTCTGACAAAATACATAGAATGGGTAGTTTACGCAACAGAAATTTCTTTTCCTTCAGTTCTGAAGGCTTGAAGTCCTAGACCAAGCTACCTGTATGGTTTAGTTTGTGAGGTCCCTCTCGGCTTGCAGGGGGGTCACTGTGCCACTGTGTTTCTATGAATTCTCTTGTGTATATTTGCATGAGCAGAGAGCTCCGGTGTCTTTCTGTTCTTGCGAGGACATTGATACCATCATAGGAGCCTTACTTTCATGATCTCATCTAAGCTTAATTAACTCTACATGTCATTTCACTGGGGAGCAAAATTTTATAACATAAATTTTAGGGGGACGGAAGCAGTCTTTAACATGAATTAAATCCCTTTCTATGGATACTTAATGTACTTATGGGCAAATGCCGACTCCAAATGCTGTTTTCCTTTTCCTGGTAATTTGTCTTTGTTGCTTTTTATACACGGGTATTAAAATAATTAGCATTTTTAGAAGCAAGATGTTACCACTTGCCATTATCTGATGCACTACCCCAAACATGAATCTCTCTTTAATGTTTATTTTTAATATATGTTTATCCACATTTCTCAATTGTTTTCGTGCAGGCAAACAATATAAGATCTCTGTCTTTCAAGTTGGTGTATTAAAAAAAAAAAAACTGGGCTCTTGGTTCCTCTGGCAATTTTATTCTAACACAAGTAGCACCCAGATTGTAATTCTGATAAGTTCTTTTTTGAAAAATTAAATTCACAAAACAATTGATTATCAGTTATAAATGGCAAAAACACCATCTGGCATTCAAAATTGGTTCAATCCACGTAGCAAGGGGAAAAATTGTTGGAACTTGTAGTTGGCGAGGAGCTCTCGTCCATGGAGCAGAAAATGACGCGCTTTACTATGAGAGAGCCAGAGTAGTCATAACTTATACTTAGCGGCTGTGGGAATCTGATATGCTCTTCACATGTTCCATATGTTAAATCACTTGGCTACATCTTTAGTGTGAAAGAGCCGGGGGTGGGAGAGGAGCGTGGCTAGTGGGTAGAGAGGCAACAGCTCAATCCGAAATTCTCACCTCTGGTTATTTCCAGGTAGACCCAGGGCCACAGGTGGGCCAGGACTCAGTTTCTTTACCTGGGAAACTGGGTGGGCAAATTCTGTTTAATGTTATGGCACAGGTGGCATTTTTGCAGAAATTTCTAAAGCTATTTGCATTTCTCTGGTGAGGTAAGTCGCACAGCATTAGCATTTTCTATAGAAATGTCCTGTGTTGTTCTTTGCCAACTGGAAATTTGAGTAGGTGTTCATGTGATGTGCCAAGAGACTGAAAGGAGATGAAAACACTCCACATCTTCCAATGTCCCCCATACTGTGTTCTGAGTGTGGGAGGGATGGGGCCTGGCTAGATTCTCTTGGAGCTTCAGCCTCAGGAGGAATGCTTTCCTTTGGAGTATACTGCAATCCTGTTATTTTCAAAAATGTTTCTGGGTTGCTGGCATGTTTTCATTTTATGTTAAAAATATAACTATCTTTTGCTTATTATTCATATATTGTAATACAAAATCTATCCATTCACTTAACAGATATTTATTGAGGCACATTTCAGCATATTTGTTAAATGCATGAGCTTTCTCGGCTACTTACCTTAGGACCATTGCTTAATCTTTCTAACCATGCTTAAAGAATGTAAAATGGGAGATTATGTACCACGGAGATTGTTTTTAGGATTGAGATTTTGGATGCAAAATGCTTAAAAAGAATTTAACAAACACAAGAGTAGTAAAAATAATAGCAAATATTAGTATCACTATATACCAAGTCCTATGTTACTGTTCTTATGGGGCCTGATTTAAATTTGCACACCCCTTCAGCATTACAGATGTCCTCCAATTTTCTTACTCTGATCTTTGTAGGACTCCGGTTTGCATGGGATCTGATTTAGGTAGCTTTTGTAGAGAGATGATAAGAATAGGTAAGACCCTGGCAACTGGGCATTGTCCTGGTGACCATGTGGTGTTGGTTTCTTGCCTCCTGTGCTGTGATTTGCCTGCTGGAGCCCTCCCTACTTTTGGAGAACTGCCTGCAGCTCCGGCATCCAGGCCTGTAATTACAGAGCAGAAAATCCAGGCTGAGAAGACAGGGCAGTCCTGAAATTAGTTTATGCATAATGGATAATAGGAGGCTGTTTTAAAGTGTAACTCATTTGGTGGGCTGGCAGATCTTGACTTTCTTTTTGATGTGTATTATTTATTTATTTATTCCTTTTTTTTTAGTGAGATGAGGACAGAAGGCTAGGGAAGTCACTTGGTACAGCTCTTCTAGACTATAGCTCAGATTTAGCAATTTACATTCTGTAATCTCTTGGTCATTTAGCCACAGATAATTTGTCATGGTTTGTTTTAGCTGTTGTGATATTGATATTTATTATGCAAATTGTATTTCCTACATCTTATTGTTCTGCATTCTATGAATACTTAAATTATTATAAACCTTTACACTTAATATGGCTCGTCCTTCAATTTGATGCTTGAGCAACAGAGGGTCAGAGCGCACATGATCTTCTAGAGGAGAAGAAAATAAGTAATTAAAAAGCAGACAAACAAAAGTAGGTTGCCTGGATGAAAAGAAAGCCAAGGTAATTTCAGCTAGGGAGCCAGCCTGAGTCCGGAGATGCTAGTGGCTTTGGGAGAACCGTCCCCAGCTACTCAGGAAGCCGCGAGCACCTGTTGGTCTCCAGCCGCCTCAGGAGGGGCTGGGGGGATAGAGAAGAAAGTGAGTCTGAACCCTGAAGGAGGAGTGTGGCCGAACATCCGTTTCCCACACCTTCTCTCCCTGTACTCTGAACGGAGTACAGTAGATTTTTGTTGTGCACGTGTAATCTTAAATATATAAGCGTAACATGTCACCCTTACATACGTTTATACATATTAAACTAGAAACAAGACCCTCAACAAAGCCAGGGAACCTAAGCGTACCCTCCTCGATCAAGCTTTCCCGAGAATCTAACGCAAAGGCACGGGCTTGGAAAATCCCAGAACCCGACTCTACGGCTCCAGTCTTCCAACTATCCCCAAATCCACCGCTAGGCTGTTAGCAGGCTCTCCCGCTCAGCCGGACGTGCAAAGCACGCATGCACTTCTCCCAGATTGTTTTGTCAATCCGGGGACCTGCATTCTCACTCTGCACTCCCGCCAGCCCTGGGTTTCCCAAAGACCTTTTCTTCTGTGCAAGGTGAGTGACAGAAATCTGCAAAGTCTGGCTTCCAGGCAAGAGGTACACGGTGAACGCGGCAGAGAAGCCTCCGGAAGGGAGAGTCTCCAGTTCCCGATCTAATGCGGAGATTGCTGTAAACATTCTTAATAAAGGTGTACGGGAAGCTAGACCCGCCCCCGGAAGCCAGAGACCCTACACGCCAGGAGCCCTGGAGAACACTTTTTCCTTGATCCGGGAGAAGCGTAGACGAAATTTTAACATAAACATATTTGCATACGCCCCTCCCTTGGCCCCGCCCCTAGGTGGCGCGGGCGTGCCGCCGAACGCCAGCGCCAGGGGGCGGGATGGGGGAGGGGGTAAATCCTCGGAGAGCGGGGCTGGGATTGTGGCGCGGTGATTGGTCCACCCGGACTCCGCCTTCCGTGCATATCATCAACATCTCATTAGCTGTTCGCTTGGGCTCCGGAGGCAGCCAACGCCGCCAGTCTGAGGCAGGTGCCCGACATGGCGAGTGCTGTGCTGCCGAGCGAATCCCAGTGTGCGGCGGCAGCGGCTGTAGCGGCGGCGGCGCCTCCTGGGCTCCGGCTTCGGCTTCTGCTGTTGCTCCTCTCCGCCGCGGCGCTGATCCCCACAGGTAGGTGTGGGCACCGGCCGGCGGGCCCCGAAACCTCCCCAGGCACCCTAGTAGCTGTAGCCGTGGAGGGAGGGGGGGACGTTTCCATGACAACCTCCCCCTACTACCTGAATCCGAAGCGGTGGGATTGTAGAGAGGGAACTCGGACGAGGTTGAAGGGGTCGGGCTCCGCTTCTCTGCGGCGGGCTGACTGAACGCGAGCCCTCGGGGATGCCTGCACCCACACCTTGCCCCCTGGTTTGGTGCGGAGTGCGGAGTGAAGACGGGGGCCGAGGGCTGGAGAGTTGGGGGAAGGGGAAGACTCGAAGGCACCTCAAACCGTCCGGACCCTCCTAAAGTCGCAGGCGTCCCGGTAACTTGCCGGTGCTTCCTCCCTTCTCCCGAGGTTGCCCTTTCGTCCCCGTTTCCCCAGTCAGCTCCCCAGTTCTCCATCCCCCGAGCCTGCCCCTACCACTGACTGCTCGCCGCCTCCGGCGTGATTCCTCCCTGGTCCCCTCAGACTTGCCTGGTCTCCGCGTTCCCCGCGCTCTGCCTCTCGCCCCTGCCCGCGAGCTGCACGCTTCTCGTGTTTCCCTCCGACCGCTCCAAGCCCCGCACCCCCCTCTCCGTTGCGGGGCTCCTTGGCCGGGCTCCAGGCGAGGAAAGTTCCCCGGCCCGGCCCCGCAGGGGGGCGGGGGACGGGCGGTCGTTGTCGCCGCCTCTGCGGGAAGGCGCGGGGAGCCTGCAGCCCTCCCGCCCCGCGGCGTCCTCCGCCACGAGTGGGGACGCTGGATTTCCTGGCAGCCGGTGCTTTCGGCGGCCCGAGGGGGCACAGGGGACATTCGCGGCCTCTGCAGCCGGCCGGGCGCCCCCCGCATGGAGGGCCATCTTGGGAATTTGCCCGGGGCGGCTTTGCACGCCCTGCGCCTTCCCTAAGACGCCGCGCGCTCGGCTGGAGCTCCGTGTGTGGCTGCCTGTGTGCCGGGCGCGCTGGCGCTTTCGGGAAAGAAGAGGGCAGTGTTTGCATTTGCTAACAAAAGGGAGCTGAAGCTGTTCCCCAGCGGAGAGGCCGGCGGTGCTGCACCCTGCCTTCTTCCCGCCACCTCGCTGCGCTCGGCAGCCGCGCGGCCTCCCCGCGCTCTTGGCCGCTGGTTGCGGGCTTCGGGCGGGCGCCGGGACCGAGCGGTACCGGGCCGCGGGGGGCGGGCGGCGGTGCAGGAGGGGATGCAGCAGGACTCTGCGCCTGCAAAGCCCCTCCTTGCAGCTCGGGAGCTGCAGGACCCGGGAGCAACAAGTGGCAGAGGACGCCGAGAGCTCAGCCCCATCTGCAGAGCCCCCGGCCCGGCGGACGTAGCATTGGGGCCATCGTGGGCGCTTCTCAGCTTGGGCTGTGCCTTTTGTTTACACGCTAGAGGACACACAGTTATGTAAACACCGCAGGAAACACGCTGTAGGAAATAGGAATTCTGGGGGTGCTAGCTCTGGATTTGGGGGATGCCGGTTTGATTGCTCTCCCCCCGAACAATCTTGCGGAGGAGCTCGACTTGAGGAACCTGTTGGGGTTTATAGAGAAGGGAATCTGGCAGCAGCTTGTATTCCAGCGTTGAGGATTTTTCCCAATTTCCATAACATACTGTCTCCGGATGTTGTTTATGTGTTTTTCCTCCGTGAATTCTTAATTTATGAGTTATGAGATAATTAGGTTCAACCGATGCCGGTGTGGTTACAACTTCATTTCGGGCGATGCCACTGACTGCAAGGGTTGGAGAAAATGTTCCCGAAAGAGATACCCGTGCTGCTGCATTGTAAAAAGCGCTAGTGTCAGTTAAACGTGAGCGTGAGTAAAGGCTCGGTAACTGGCGCATAATAGAAGCAACAATAGACTTGTATTGGCTGCAAAAAAAGAGGGGGGATGGTGGTGGTGGTGGGGAGCGCTGGTCGCGTATTGCCTTAACACCGAAAATGGGAGCCGTGCATTGCCGCTTGGCAGCGGAGTAGGATTAGATTATGCCTCTCCTGTCAAGCCTGCTCATTGAAGGCACCGGGTAGTAACAACAGTACTATATTTGTAACTTATCTCGCGGCGAGAACTTGCTTTCCTAGTGAGGGAGATGTGCTGACTTAGAAGGGAGCGGTCTGGAACTCAACCGTGCATGTCAAAGCTACAAGAAAATTCTGTTGCCAGTTACCATGGAAGCAGCTTCTTGCTCTTGTGTACGTCCCTGTTTGTAGTCTGGTTATCAGATTGTGTTCAAATTAGGAAGTAATTGGGTTTCATTTGTAGTGAGGGGATGAGATGACTTTCTTTAGTTTTTTTTTTTTTTTGAATGTATGTTTTTAAATGTGTAGATTTGCAAGAGGGTTTTAGCCTAACCTTCGGTCTTCGCTGGGGGGTGGGGCGAGTACATTTTAGGAGGACTCCTAGCACTTGTCCTCAGCACTCTTAGTTTAAGCTTTCTTAGACGCCTCTACTCCCACTTCAGGGTTAAAGAAACCTGTTGGTGCTGTCCTCTAACTTCATTTGCTTGTTTCATTTACATCCTTGCGGTTAAAGCAAACTCTGGTCATAGTGCAGGGGCTCCTGATCGGTTCCCCAGTCCCTGAAGCTCTATCCCTCATCCCTCCTGCTGGTGCTCAGAAGAAATGGATGTTAATGAAAATGCAGCCCAAATTGGATTGCTGAGGCTGTGTTCATCATGCCTGTTCCTTGAAAGTCCATGCATGATGTTTGGGATCCCGAAAGGACCCGTGGTAGGTCACCCCCACACACAACCTTTCTTTCTGGATTAGGGAAGATGGCTGATGGGTGGAGGATTGGGTGGTGTTGACTGTAAGCCTAGGGCTGAGTTTCCCTTGCCGCAGCCTGTGGGGCTTGCATACCAGGGACAGGGACTTTACTAAAAGTGCCGCCCTGCTGTTGTTGCCTTTCCCTGCATCAAATTGAATAGCGGCAGGAGGGACTTGCACTTGCCTGCGATAGCTTTGATAAAATATCCCTCATTAATGCCACTTTATATTTACAGTGTGTCACTGGAGATGCACAAGGCTTCATTTAGTGACTTGTGTGACTAGACAAGCTTGCATTATTTGCCTGGGACATTTTGGAGGAACAAGAGACCCATTGAGTAATCTTTTGAAATGAACAAATACGAAAAAGGGGGGAATAAAAGAGCAGGCAGTTCTCTGGAACAAAGAGCTTTATTCATATGGATGTTGTACATGCTTTATCCACTTTTCCCCAATGGCCCTCCTGGTAAAGAGGAGTGGGACCGGGAGGACCGTCAACAGGCAGGACGCTTTCCGCTTCCTTTCTCACTTCCTGGCTTCACAGTCTTATCTTCGGAGGTGGGTCCCTGTCTCTGCCTGCTCCTGTCTCTGCAGTCCCTCTGAAATCCCAGAAGATAACGGCTTCCTGGGTTTCGAAAGGAGACTTGCAGTTCTTTCTCCCAGCCCTGAATTTATCAGAAGAAAGTTGTTGCTACCTGTTGAGATTGATGATCCTTGGAAGATACATTGGTTGAAGGGAAAGAGATGTCACTTTTCTATGACATGTGTCAAGAAGTGGTTGAAAGGGAATGTCAGATTGGTAAGATGTCTTGCAATTATAACATTAGCCTTACTACTTATTTTTTTTCGAAATGCCATGAAAACTAAATTCAAAATTTTCATTATTATTAATGGTATTTTGAAAATTTTGGGGACCTTTTCCTACCCTTGGTACATTTTAATCTCATACATAAGTGAATTTTTCTTTTTATGCTATGGCCTGTATTGCTAAATGGTTTTTTTAGGCTTTAAAATTGAGATTATTGCTATGAATATAAACTGTCTTATTCTCTTTGGGTTTCTGCATGACATTTTAATGCCTAATTGACTACTTAGAATTTACATTGTAAAAATGCTGTTTTTGGTGTGTGTCTAACAAAGGCCCATTTTCGAATGGGGGAATTTCTAAAATGGGACCAAACTAATTGATGTTGTGATTTGAATGGAAATTGACCAGCACATGTAGATAGTTCATAAGAAATAAATTCAAAGGATTAAAATGCTGTATATCTTTCTTGGGAAGAATAGTACTGACCATTACGCTAGGCATTTTTAACAGAAAATCCAGCACAGAAAGGAGAAATCACACAGCGACATCTGTTGCAGAACTGAAAATTTGCTGCATTGAGTTATAAGCAATTAGTTTGGAATAATCACCTAATGGTATCAGTGTAAATGTGTATTGATACAGAGGTATATATGCGTACTTATATATGCATATATATAAACATTATTCAAAACTCACCTACATAAAGTATTCATAAAGTATTTAATAGAAAATATAACCTATCAATGTTAAGGCTCTTTTACAAAATGTTAGATTCTTGTAGGGCATTTGAAAGGGGAAGGACACTAGAAATCACTTTCTGAGTTCTTTGTAATTTGAAGTGAGTCGGTTGATACCCAGAGAGTGAAGGACCTTGCTAACAGCTGAACCGAGGCTAAGTTAGCTATGGATCCTAACTGAGGACAGGTCCCTTGATTTCTAGCCACTGGACCCTTTGTTAAACCTTTTGGCAGGGATGCGCAGTCAGAGAGATACGGATTGTGAAAGGATGATACCTTGGCTAAAAATATTTCGTATTCAAAAGATGGCAGGATTAATTATTGCTCTAGGTAATACCCATGGATCAGAAAGAATGAGCTCTGGGAAGAAACGATCAGGTCTTTGTAATGTTGTCTTTTGTGTTGACAAATGATTCTGAAACCTCTGGACTTTATTTGGCAGCCACCATCCGAATATCATCCAAAGTGGATGGAATGACTCTAGGTTTGTGTCACTGTAATAAGTCAGATAAGTGAAAACTCGGTTTCAGAAGACTCAGGTTTTGATTTAGAAGATTTTTGTGTTTTCAAGGATTAATTTTAAAAGTAAGTCTGGTTTTGTATAAGGAAAAAAAGGAAACATTCTTAAGAACAAGAACAAAGCTTGACTTTGTTTTGAAAGCAAGTTCTTGTCATTTGTCATTAAAAGA